TAGGAGTTTCTTGGGTTAGCTCATTACTATTAGAGATTTTTTTGAGTAAATTTCTAAGATAGCATTACCTTTGACCGGATTGACCAGGAAGAGAGTGTTGCCTTTATGTGGGATAGTAAGTGTGAGAATAGTTTCCAAACTCTTAAGGAAAGATCGACTAGTGTTAATACTACTAGATTTTAGAAAGTCTTTTGTGGTACATAGTGGGGCTTCTAAGATGAGTTTGGGTGGAGCGTTGATGCAAGAAGGAAAGGTAGTAGCTTATGTTTCGAGGCAATTGAAAATTCATGAGAGGAATTACCTTATCTATGACCTTGAGTTAGCGATTATGATATTTACACTATTTGAATACACTACCTATATTAGCATTACCTTTGACCGGATTGACCAGGAAGAGAGTGTTGCCTTTATGTGGGATAGTAAGTGTGAGAATAGTTTCCAAACTCTTAAGGAAAGATCGACTAGTGTTAATACTACTAGATTTTAGAAAGTCTTTTGTGGTACATAGTGGGGCTTCTAAGATGAGTTTGGGTGGAGCGTTGATGCAAGAAGGAAAGGTAGTAGCTTATGTTTCGAGGCAATTGAAAATTCATGAGAGGAATTACCTTATCTATGACCTTGAGTTAGCGATTATGATATTTACACTATTTGAATACACTACCTATATTATTCTAAGCTTGAGGTATTTAGTGATCATAAGAGCCTTAAATATCTTTTGGCATCGGGGCATAGATAGAATTAGATTAGGATGTTTTTATTAAATTATTTTAGAAAACTCAATTTTATTTCTTTATGATTTCACTGACATGTTATTTGGATTAAGTTTATGAATGTGAGCTCTTTACCCTTATGTGATTGGAGACTTGATTGTTTTATGATGAAGAATTTTATTTTATTTATAATTACTTTGTATGTATGTTGGGGTAGAAGGTGTCACACTAGGCTCACATAGAGAGCTTTAAAGCTTTCTCTCACACCCGGCGTAGGTAAAGTTACGCCCGGCATCAGTTTGGCAAAGACATACAAGGGTAATTACGCCCGACGCGGTAAGTTCGACACGCAATGAATTAACCTCGAGGGAGCTAGGGCCCTCTTGTGCCCAGTGCAAGGTGTCTCGGTCGGCGCTATGGCTTGGTAGAGACTCCTCTAAAGAATCACTCTTGGTGTGGTAAATGCCACACTCGATGCCATATCAGTAGAGGCCCCAACCCTCCATTTACTGAAATCACGCCCGGTGCCAATCACCTAGAGACCCTAATACCACTTCACGCCTTGTGCGAACAACTTCGTGCCCAGCGTGATCGGGATGCTTGGGCCTCTAATGAATGCCCGCTCGGTACCATGAAGGAGTGCCCAACGCAAATGCAAAGATAAGCACTCCAAGTTCGAAAAATTGAACCAACACCTGCAATCACTAGTACAAAAGGGGTCTTTAACATCGGATATTTTAAGGTTTTTACGTCAGAAAAGCCTCCGACGTTAATACGGGAGACGTAAATTTACGTCGCCTATCACAGACGACATAAATTTACGTCAGAGATGTCCTTTGACCGATGTAAAAAAGGATTTTAAAAGGGGAAAAAAAATGCCAGATTTTACGTCGGACTACACCATGTCCGACGTAAATTTACGTCGGCCAGTGCTAGGTCCGACATAAATTTATGTCGGCTATGGTGTAGTCCGACGTAAAATCTGGCATTTTTTTTAAATTTTTGTTGTTTTTTGATATATACCCAAAACCTACATATATATAGTTCAAAATATAAAACCTCCGACGTAAATTTACGTCGGCCAGTGCTAGGTCCGACATAAATTTATGTCGGCTATGGTGTAGTCCGACGTAAAATCTGGCATTTTTTTTAAATTTTTGTTGTTTTTTGATATATACCCAAAACCTACATATATATAGTTCAAAATATAAAACCTAAACCAGGTAGTCCAGAATAGAAATTCAAATTATATTTCAAAATTGAATGGCAAAAACAAAATAATATATAAATCTTAAAAAGCATAAATTATGACAATGTAAATCCTATTATCCTAAAAAAGCTATAAAACATATGTTTGTCAATGCTATCAAACTAGAAACATAATATCTAACTAACTAAACTTAGAAATCTAACTATTATATACTTTGAAGAAAAAAAGTTGTCCATTGTTCTCTTATCTTGATGATCTCATCTTCGGGCAATGGAGATGGATCTTGAAAGACCTGAAACATTAATTTAAGTGTCATTAATATGCAATGTTAATTATCCTAAAGGTAAATATAGTTAAATAAATTTTGATATGAATTACCTGCGCCCAAGAATCAATAATACCCGCAGAAACTATGGCTCTCATCCAATACATGATGTAATAGCCACATTCAAACGAGTCTTGTTGCTTATTACACTAAAATGAGAAACAAATAACTATTATTTCCAAAGTCAATAAATTTAAATATTATTGACTGTATGAATTAATTTGCTAACCTTAGGGTATATGAAATGCAATGACTTTGATGATCTGGCTCTTCCACTTAAAATATTAGCTCCAGACACGATTCTAATTAATTGAAATAAAAACAAATGTTAGCCAATATATATAATTACAGTTTTAAAACATAATGAAAAAATTTAGTTACCCTTGTAATTGGCATTTAATTTCGTGGCTTAGTTTTCGATGTAGTGAACAAAACCACACCACGGTGTATTCCTTAGGAATGATTACCATTAACTGCCAATGGGACCTACATTGTATGACAAACAAATTAGTTATAAAATTACCATGATTAAAAAACCAATTAAAAAACTAACCCGTCAATGTATGGAGCCATATATATATCTTTTCCTGATTCACTCATCCATGTTTGCATATATTGCTGGATTTGGACCTGAGTGTTTCCTGATTTTTGGATGGATTGAGGCTCAATAAATCCATATACTTGTGCTTGTGCTTTCTCCACACTCAATTTGTCCATGTACCTAACACAAATAATTATTATAAGTTAAATGTAATTATTGTAAATTTAGACTCATAAAAGAAAATATGACTTACATGACCCACATCTGTATAATAGATATATTTAACATGGAGTTTCCCCTAACAATCTCTAATGCATCAGGCAGGGATATGCATAGTGGAACATCAGAGCTATCATCTCCAAAAACTCTAATGTCCCACTGCAATTGAATTGG